ACGTTACGAAGTATTTTCCACGTTGTAGTGGCCCTTAGATGCCTCGACGACAGCCAGGGCTATGGCGCTGTTAGAGCTCCTCCGGCTGACGGCAAGTAGACCGCACCCCAAAGCGTTCCTAGTTGCAACTCATGCCGACCCTTGTAGACGCCTTGCCGGAGTAGGAAGGCTTGGCGGACGTGTTGATTGGTCCCCAGGGATGACTTCATGCTTTTGAGGCTGCAAAACCGCGCTGGCCAACGCTGCTCTGCTGGCGCACCCGTCTCCGACAGCAGTGGCTTCTTAACTACGGACACCCCTGATTACGACAGTGGCTTGTGTGAGCCAAGTGGGTTGAGCCGGAGCTGGCAGCCGCTGGCCTTTTTCCAGCCAGCTCCTGGGTCTCTTCCTCGCACCCCGTCAATTTCCGTTTCCTGTTGGAGAGGCCGGCGGTTCACGGGCTTTCGTTGACCCACAAGCCGTGACATTTCGCCCATGGCCAAGTCCTTAGAGCCATGGGTCTGGTCGACACGCAGCGTCAAGTCGCTGCCATCTCCGAGCTACACCACTTTCGACATTCAGCTACGTGGCAGGCAAAAGACATATTTTCGTCGCGACTGCTCTCCCGGGCGTCAACTGGGTCCCGTCCACTTGGGCCTCGACTACGCAGCCATGTCTGCGGATCAGAACGCGGACTCTGGAGGTTGCAAGCTACAGGACGGCCCCGTACAGCGCTGCTCATGGAAGAATGTGGTGGTTTTTGACACGGCCCAACGCTACACTCCTCTGTGACATCTCCCACTGTGGCCAACCACCTCCCCTGGTACCTGCTGGCTGGATGGGGAGGCGTAAAGTCTTTGACGAACATCCCACAGCCTTTCCCGACCCAAGCCGGTAAGGCCTCTACCAAGCTGGTGGGGGCCAAGTTTGTCCTGGCACGGGCCCTGCGGAGGGGAACGTCAGGACCTGGGCTGCATGCCTGTTTTGGTGTGCCAGAAGCGCAAAGGTGACGCGTCATACCAAATGGCCCCCCTTGGCACCCTTCAAGGTGCCGGGGAAAAGAAAAGACGTTTTGATCATGTAAATGTGGGACCTGGTGGGCCCACTTCCCTCCTCCCGTGGCTACAACCTACCTCCTCACCATGGTGGACAGGACCACCAGGGTGGCCAGAATTGTTCCCTGTCCTCCACTACATCGGCTGATGTTGGCCCGGGCGTCAATTATGGCTTTGGGTGGCCCGTTTCCAAGCACCCCAGTCCGACCTGTCCTCGACGATGGTCCGCATTCACATCGGAGCTTTGGACTGCGGTCGCCGAGGGCCTGGGGGTGAAAGGTCCACCGTACCACAGCTTATACCCACAGATTGCAAACGGACTTTGCGAGCGGGTTTCATCGTGACATGAAGGCTGAAGCCTCGGGCCAGCCTTACGAGGCAGCGACTGGGCTGACGCCTCCCAATGGGTTTGCTTTGGCTTCGCTCCGCCCCAAGGAAGATCTTCAGGCCTCATCCGGCTGATGCTGGTGTAAGCGGCCAGCCTCATGCGCGTCCCGGGGTGAGTTTCTTCCCAGAGTGCCACGGCCCCTGGTGGTCGGTTTGCCTCCCATCGTGCTGTGGTCCCGGACAGTTGCCAGACGCTATTTGTTCCCATCCCATAACGTCTTCCACCATGGCCTCCACCCAGTATCTAAACGTTCCAAGGATTTACCGTCGGCCAATACGCTTTCATCCGCCACGATGGCCATCGTACCCGGCTGCGGCCCCCTACGATGGCCTTCCGTGTAACTGGTGGGGGGGGTTCTAGAGAAAAACTTTGTTGTGGATATGGGGGGCAGGCCTGAGCGGGTGCTATAGAACCGTCTCCAAGCCTGCTCATGTGGATATTGGCGAAACCGCTTCAGCTGGCCAGCCCCCACGGCAGGGGCGCCCCCCGCGGCAGCTTCGACCCCCTGCCCCATGGCACTGCCCCTGCCTCAGGTTTCGGGCCAAGCCCGGCCCTGCCCCTTGCCCTTGTGCCCTTTTTCCTGTTATACGCAGCGTGTAAATGGCCGCATGATCTCGCCCCTACACAGCTGACTTTCTGGGGACTGTTATAAGCTGGACTGTTCTGTTTGCCACTAGGGCGAGTGGGTGTCTTGTTCTATTTGGGGTACCTGTTCGGTCTGGCCTTGTTGTTAATGGGTGAATTCTGGGGGGGCCTGTTGTGGTGACCCACAATGAACACAAAGAGAAACATTTCACCAGGAGAACTGTAAACCTTTAAGAGAGAGGTCATAAGGTTGCGAGTTTCCGGTTTGTGGATGGCCGTTGCAGTTGGCCCTTAACTCGCTGTACAGTATTTTGTTTAAATATGTGATAGTGGAGAGTAAAGTTGAACTCTGACGCATCTCCGTCTCTTTCTCTCATCATTATCACACTCCAACATATGAAATAATAAAAATATAAAATGATATACGTAAAAAGAAAACAAGAAAACAGCAGAAACCAGCGTTTTATGTGTTTAATTTTCAGTTCTTTCATTGTTTCTTCCAGAGAAAAGAAATAGATCTGTTTTAGAGATCAGGCAGACAGTGACAGTCAGACAGACAGAGTTTGGATTCATGTGAGACGGCTGCTTCTACTGTATGACGTCACTGTTTTCCCACTGCTGTAATCTTTCCTAGGAGTGTTGGCTCGGCTGAGTGGTGGTCATCAGATTAATTGTGAAGGGTGGATCGCTGATAAAACGCCCCGTGTAAACTCAATCAGGCACAGCTCGACCGGCAAGCGCTTAATCCATTCATCAAAGAGCTTCACGCTTTGTCTGTCCCGTCAACTCAGCAGATTATTCCTCCTCAGACCGTCTACCAACGCTGATACTGTTTACTATGCAGTTAAATCACTAATCATATAGTTCTAGTTTATTAACCCATCTAACCAGAGAACTTCCAGTCTCAATTGACGGCAGCATGTATACTCAGCTGGACAGTCAGGAGTCTTGTGTATCTGTAACGTTATCGATAGCTAAAGTCTGATCCCAGACTGAATGGCAGAGGTCCCTTACATGTTCTGCCAGTGTGTTCATCCAGACTTAATTATTGTTCTGTTGTCTGTTCTGTTGTGAGCTAGCACTAAAAGTCTGGAAATGCTTCAAAATGCTTTCTTGTATTTAAATGTGTGTTACGTTCCCGACCAAGTCGCAGCAGCTGTAGTGTATCCATTAGTGGACTTCTGTGGACCTGGGAGCTCCCAGTGTAACATGCAGACCGGGAATGAATGCAGCATAGATGATTCTGACAGAGGACAGTTTTGACTACAGGGAAAGTAAAGGACTTGAGGGGGGTTTATTGTCGGGTTTGGCTCTGCTACCCTGGGCTAAGATGGCTAACAATTTACCATTTAGCACAGTTACGCTTCATTAGCAACAAGTTCATCTGGAAAATCTTCCATAAATCACCTTGTTACAGTGTCGTCAAACCTGTTCACGGCAGCTACATTTAGCCAGTTAGCCCAGCAGCTACATTCAGGCAGTTAGCGGAGTTGAAGGCAAGAAAACCAGATAAAATTATTCTGTCCATAAAATATGAATCCAGTTTCACCAAATCTCTGATAAATGTTGTGTGTTTGTACAGTGGATAATAAAGTTGTTGTTTTGTATAAGTGATAATAAAGTTGTGTGTCTGTACAGTTATAATAACAATGATTTATTATATCAAATATAATATATAGTTATATATATAAGAATATAAGTCAGTAAAAATGTGATGGTTCCAGTGATCTGATATGAAACAACCTGTCACAGGTACCTGACTGTTAAATATCTCCATGGGTTCAGTTTTGAGATGTCTCAGCTCCCGACGAGAATTTTAAAATTATTCATATGTGGAGAAGAACGCTCCGCTGCTCCAGAAAGACTTAGCCTTGAATTATTAATACAGGAGCCGCCATCATCATCATCATCATCATCTAGTTATCATCATCCCCAACATCTATCATCAATCATCATCATCAGCTCTACTTCAGTGTGTGAGTGGTCCCATCCCTTTTGCAGGACTTCCTGTGGTTTCACTTCCTGTGGTTCACTTCCTTCAGCCGGTCTCAGGCCAAACTCTCTGTGAGTGACCTGAGGGTAGAAACACTGACGGAGGTCAGAGCAATCAATAATGACAGGTACAGAATTAATCCCTGTTTCCTCTTTTCTGCACACCGTTATGAATGACGAACTTCTCTGACTCTTCCTCATCTTTTTTTCTCAGGATCCTTCGATATTTCTGCCTCTTATTAATTTAAATCATAATTTTGAACTGTCCTGCTAGCTCATTAGTTTAACTGTTTTACACTGATAAAATATGATACGGCAGACTCTTCAGAGGCGAGTGAGATATATTTTATACCTATAACTGATCCTCAATTGAAAGACCTTCATCTTTTATATTTGCTGACTGCACAACCAGCAAGCAGACTGAACCTTTATTTCGTTTATTTAGCCAAAAACCACCTCGGTACTGGACTCCCTGTTGGTCTCTGATGTTGTGTTCGGTCCCGGATCCGACCGGCAGTACACGCTGACGCTAGCTCATAGCACT